GGGGCTTCAAAAGCTGGGCAAAGATCGGTCACTCCAACCCTGACGGGGACCTACAAGATTGTTTGGTACACATTTAGTTAAAAATAGTTGGCCGTTCTAGAAATATACATTGTTCTATGTGGTTATTGTCCTTAGTGAATTTCAAAATAGAAGCCTAGCGTTCCATAATAAGGGGAATTATGCGTCTAAAATAAACATTCACTCCTATCGCCGCGTGTTAGATATTCATAATGACGGCGGATTTTACGTGCATGGCATCGCCAATGCTAAGCTGTGTCCCATTTTTACACTGCTCTAATTTAGCTTTATTACGGTGTGCAAACTTTCGGCAGTTTCGATTACGTCTACTTACGATCCTTGTGGATTGTAATATTTCTTCCGACGCAGGGTACCTAGACCTTAAAAACGGCTCTGATATGTTAGAGCGTCAGCCTGACTATCAATAACTGTTCTTTCTAAAAAAAAAAAAACTAACTTGATCGATATATCAGTTATTCGGTCAATCACAATGTCTATTCAATTCAATTGGTTTACTAATTGGCTTTTGTTTTTCACTGCCTAGCATCGACAGTCGCTGTTTTATCTTTTCTGATTATTGGCTTGCTGATCGATCTCTGCCCGCATTCACGCCTCATGCTGCGCGCGAACGCAATTTGATAGTACCCCAGTGGCGACTTCTGGTGCCTGAGTAGGACGACAGCAGAAAGGAAGAAAACATCAGAATCCTACCGTTCTGCCTGTAACAAGTGTTCACGCATCTCCAACCACCATTCAGCCAACCAGTTGGTCTAGACTGGTGTCCACACGACTAATACGTGACCCGACGTGAATGCACGCATCTATAGTCGTCAAGCCTCATTCCGCGATCTGCAGACTGCGCCTGTCCGTCACTAGACACTGCTGGCAAGCCGCCATCCGATACAACAGTATGAGTCAAGCATTTCTGCTAGCGATGAACGTTTGCTTAGTTGCCGGGCTGGTTGCGCACTTTCATAACGCAAAGCCTACTACCATTAAGACGGCTATCAGCGTCGCTCGGCTAGACGCGCGCGCGGGCTAGCGCGACGCCCTCTGCTCCATTCTAATCCAGTCCAGTCGAGCCTACTCTAAAACCGCCGACAGCCGGAGCGCCAGCCATTAGCAAAATCCAGATCTCCAAGGGCGTAGAACGGGGAACGCCGGCGTTTACACGAGCGCCAACGAAGCCGCCGCGGTCATCGCACCAATAGCGATTACCCTAGCCGCTAATAATAGTGCAATAGCCAAAACGGCCATTCTACCTGTCCTAGACTCTTAACGCTGCTGATACGCCTATTGAATAGTAACTACTGCGACCAAGATTTAGCTAGAATCTCACTCTCGCCTTCTCTTCCTTTGTTTCACTCTGAATTAGAGCGGTTGGTCGTAAGGTGACCCGATTACTCTACTTGAAGGAACCACTACACCTATGGATATGGCGCACGTAAAGCGCACCATATGCTGCAGATTTGCAAAAAAAATCCTTCTTCGTCAAACGAGGCCCTGCCGCCTGACAGGGAAACTTAGAAACGAAAATTATGCGCTTAGCGAATTGTTAGGCCATAGCTCATTAAGAACGTATATTGCGTCGTCCAGTTTAGGCGTACCATTGTTACTATGTTTTTTTTTCAGATCAAAAACGGCCTTCAAATAAAGTTTGGGTGGAAGCAAAAGTATAACGCGAGTTGAGCTTGTGCCTTGAATAGTGATACGTTGTATGGTCTTTGTTCGGTTCTCGGTCGCCGTCTAAATGGCTCCATATGAAACAAGTGGACGAATGCCGCCAGAGCGTTGTTATCCTGCTGAAATGAAAATTGCTGGAGGGTGTTAAGAAGGAACGTCTGAAGAACTCACTGGTCGGTTCATTGCTTCGTTAGCAAGTGTTATTAATTCTTTCTCAAAGCGAACCGGATAAGGTCCGCTTTGAGAAAGCAGGGGCAGAAGTGGCGGCGGCAGCAGCAGCTGACGAGTCACTATAATCGGTGTAGTGGTGTTGTTAGCGGTTGTTTTTCTCGTCATCGTCATCAAAACAGCAGAATTAGTGATTATCTAGTGGTGCGAGTTGCAGCGTCGACGGATGCAGTTGTGTTCCACAAATTAGACGACGCGACGCGCCAGCCGACTTCGTGCTCAGAGCTCTGTTTCGCATCGCGACGACTGCAGCGGTCGCGTACGAGCACGTACATACGCACACATGCGCAGCTACACAAAATGCATACATCAATATCAGAAGTAGTTACCCGCCGCTGCACGACGGTAGCGACCGCTGCCTGTGCTTCGTCGTAACCGCACACTAGCCAGTTTCACACGCCAGCTGCAATATACCCACATTGCTGTCGACATTACTTGTATTCATATGTTTTCGATTTCAATGGCGCTGCCGCCATTGCCATTTACTTTCAGCGCCCTCATACGGCTGCTTCTTGTCTGGCTCGCGCAGCAATACCGCTATCCAGCATCAATCAATCATTTGGGCTATAAGGCAGTACTGAATCCGTTGCAGAACCATGAGCGGCACCTTCAGCAGCCCCAGCAGGGGGCTCGAGCAGCTACCCCGCTGTCACTCACAGCTTGCAGTAGAACATCAGTCAACTGACGATCCCCAAGGCAGACGGCATGGTATGTCCGTGCGCGTCTTGCAACAGCTACGAGCCGCTAAGGCACCAGCAGCATTGACAGTATATCTGTTGAAGATCTTCTTTATTGTTTTTTCTTGTCACTACGAATAGTTAGCTTATCGATATAGTTCGGATAGCGGCTGCTACTGCTGCCGAAACGGCTACCAATAAGCGACAAATGATAAGTAAACGGCTAATTTGTTTTGCTGTTCATCCACTTTACTGCCTTCTCTCTCTGTCACATGTTACGTCTCGCTGTTGTTGATACTTAGCGGGACAAGTGGGGTGCGGATTAGCCTGTGACGACGGTTCGGTTCTGATCGTATATACCCCAGCGGAGCGAGGGAAGGGAAGGGAACGATCGGCGGATTAATGGCGAACTGTCGATAAAGCGCCTAGATTCCTTTCAGCGACAAATTGACCAGTCGCCTAGTTGAAAATGATTCGTTTGGCCAGCGGCGACTAAAGAAAAACACAATTACGAAGATGGTGAACTGTTTTTTTTTTTTTTTTATTGTTATTGTAGTACCGATTGAGTAGCAAGATCGGCGACATTCGTTTGACATATATGACAAATAGTCAGCGTCAACTGAACAAGCGGCGAACAAAAATTTTACCGTACTAATAATAATGGTAACAGTAATTAAGCGAAAATTATGATGACTGTAATAAGAACCGCCACATACGTTATCGGTTATTTACGTAGCTTGCTGCGTCTAATCAATATAGAGCGTATTATGTAAGGAGAACGATTATAGATTGGACTTTCAAATTCAATTAGACCACTGTGAAATACTCGGCGAATGAATTGATCAGGTTTTCTGGACTCGGAAGTCAGTTGAATCGGTATCATACGAAAACGCTATGACATCGTTTCTCGTTTTCTCGACAACAGTTTACTACTGCAGATTGGATGATGTTCAACGAACGTTGAAATGAATTAATAACACTCCCTCCCTAAAGATTAGTTGGGCGCTTTTTTAAACGATCGAATATAAATTAGCCTCGTTCCCATTCAAATAAGAAAAAAACCGGATAGGACTAAATTACACAATGGCGCTTTCCCGAAATAAAGACAAAGGTAGACGGCGGCTGGCCATGCGCATTTGATCACCCTACCGTAAACCATACGACTGCCACTGATAGCTAGACGACGCCAGTATGAAATTGGCTCAACCAACGAGCACCTCCCAACGAAAAAATCTATTTCTCGTTGTTGTTTCTCCGAACTTTTTACTCGTTCTAAAGTATAGGAGTTAAAAAAAATTGCCAGGTAAACAAGTTGCATCCGATGAGTTGAACTGTAACTTAAGCCGGGTATAAGATCACGGTCGTCATATTGCTTCCTAACTCTCCAATAGATAATTTACCAGTAGTGTTCTTAAGCTACGATTAGAATGGGCCTGCGTCCTGTAATGACTTTTACATGTTTGCTTATCCGATTTGTGGCGTATCGCATGTCATTATAGATAGTTCTAGTCTAAATGCATTATAAATAAGAAAACCGGGCAATGTAACGCCATTTCCAACTTTATAGCAGGGTAATATAAATAAGACGATGATTCTTGAACTGCTACGCTCTACTGAAGTAAGTGTCGTAAATATTTCGCATGTTAATGTGGCCTAGAGTTCAGCGGGTTATCTCGCCCGCGAATCCTAGTGACGATGCTTCCAGCCGTCAACAATTCTGAACAATTCGAAGACACGGATGCCGTGTTACAAGAATATGGCTGGTATACTGAGTGTTTTTGTCAATTGAATCTAGTACTGAAGCCATCGCCAACGTAAATCATTCCAACTGCGTACGCTGCTTAGATACCTCTGCCTGTTTTAACGTTACTGAAGTTGTTACAAGGTTGAGTATACTAACGATCTATTCATTTTAAATATTGTAATTTCTTCCTCACGTTCTTCTTCTCCTCCAACGAATACGTCTACTTCTCGTTCACCATGTTTTCAAAAACATCTCGTTACATTCTGTCACCAGGCATTTCCCTAGATGGCTAGCCTTCAGCAAAAAACAAAAATGTGTGTACACTTAGATTCGAACCTACGCCACCGCGCGTCCTCAAATTTAATAGGCAAACACTCTACCAAGTACGCTGGCTTCCACCTTCTAAACACGTAACACCTCTTCTACAGTACGCAATATGTTTCTAGCTCGTTTTTTTATCACGAGGTCGATTCAGGCAACATTCTTCTACCTCTTCTTCCATAAATAAGTCATCATAAAATTTCGTCTATTCCGAGCTATACGCTGGTAGAAAACGCACATCTTTCTGTATCACTATTGCGTTTTCACTTTTTTCTCGTTGTTATTTACTACTCTAATTTATCTGCAGCTTGTTTCTGAATACTACTCACGGTGGACGAAGTGGCGAGCGTTGGTGTGTCGTACTGCCGCTGCAGACTCCTAATGGTGTTACGGGCGACATTGTATTTGCGGTGTCGGCCAAGCAAGATAGACTTAACGTTTGACGTCATCATCGCATTTCTGCCTAACGCGACGATATTTGGTCGCCGCAGTTACCGCGAACTGCCACCACCGCGAAACGCCGCCTGACAGACAACTGGCAATGATAAACACCGGCGACAGCGAATTCAGCCAGAAGACCTAGATGCGTCTGCGATAACCTGCTCCTGAGAACCTGCCCACGGGCAGAACAAGTTGGTATGATTGTTCTCCTGTATCCTGTGCGTGGAGTCAATTGGCTAAGGGGTTTTCTCTGCGACTGCCACCACGAAGTGCTCGGTACGGTACAGTTCTATCCAATTCAATTGCGAGAAAAAACTGATGACGTCGAGCCAATCCAAGGACATCAATCACATCCAATTTTCTGTCCTTTCTTTCTCACTCAGCTTCTTCTAGTACTCCTTGCCCAGCCGGCTCTTGGTGTTTCTCTGTAATGTCACGCGCGCTTTGTAACCCATAACTATTTATGGCCACGATCATATTCTCAACACTATAACTGCAACTATTTTTGCGTGTGTGTAAGCGACGTAACGCTTTTACGCACATAGAAAACACATACGCACAATGCGCACACACATGAGGGTTTGAACGGATACGACTGCGGCCCACACACTTCTACCTACATATATATCTATGCGTCTAATGTTGACGCGCTGATTTCACATAATTGTAGCTAAAAGGAAGCAGTTCACATGACGGCTTTAATCATTCAAACACTATGGCCGCCGGCGCTGAGATTATTCAGAAACACCCACATCACAGACACACACACACACACACACAGTGCTACATATAGTAGACAACTTATGCCGCCATATAAGTTGCCTACTGAAGGCGGATCGTCCCCGCGTGAAGCACGATGCCACATACACGCTGGAATCTATCAAGAGGATACGGGTACGTGTAGAGTGTAGTGATTCGTGAACGCTGGTGAGGCTGTAGGTGAGTGTTGGCGCTTCCGGTTTCGTGCTGATGCGTAGGGCATGTGAATGTAGCGTTTAGACGCGTACCGTAAGACTTCTGTCACAACAACATGTCAAGTGCGTAAAATCGACGTAGAATGACAAGATTTCTCATAAGTTCTATTTGTTTTGATAGATATTCTAGCCAAAAAGTACACCTCTGCATCCGTGTTATGCTAAGGACATTACAATCTCAGACGCAAGATTCACAGTGACGCATAGGAGCTGTAAATGCACTTACTTCTCAGATGTCTAGCGGGAAGCCTTCTCTCACATTCGGCTTGTACAGAATCAATGATAGCCATTATGAAATGAATATATTCCATCGATTGACACATTACGATCGATCGTTTCATACAAAACAATGACCATTGGTGAGAAAGTCAACACAAACATTTTACATAATCTAAATGCTCGATCAATTTCATAGTTATTTTTGTCACTAGCAGACGTATTTTTTCTTATCCCGTCAAGCCCAGCCATCTAAATGAAAGAGGCTGGCTAAGGTAGGCATCTACGACTTGCACTTGTTAGCGGTGTAGCAGCATTATCCAATGTTAGCGTCCTGACCGTAAAAACGATGCTCAAATTGAATGATTGTATCGGTCGTCAAAAATAGCGACTTGTTTTCAATATAATAAAACAGCCCCAGTCGTTCGTTCCCTACTACAAAACACAATACCCTCAATTTCACCTATTCACTCTCCTGGCTATTTTCACTGTCGGCTGTCACGGGAAAATCATTTGGTGCCACGTAATCAACATAAGAATATCAGCCCGGTGTCGATATTCTCGTGAACGATAACAATGTCAGGGTGCAAAAAATTACCCACTTTGCAATGTTTTATACTAATACTGTGTTAGGTTTTATACGAGCAACGATTTGATGAAGACTTTTCTCAGAGGCAAGCGAATATGTGTACATTAGAGACAATATCCATGTTTCAAAATAACAATTCAAGGTCCGTGAATCACTGTGATAGATTTTCATTGTTGACCTGTGAACAAAGCGGCTCACAATAGGACAGATGCGCCGGGTAGATTAGGTACGACGGCGCACGTTCGACCTTATTCGATCGCCACTACAATTAACACCAAGGACCTGTGTGGTATACATAGTTTCCGGAAAACCAGTTCGTCGCCTGCTGGATCGTCCCAATTTACTCTACCAAACAAAAAGTAACGAATCACTTCCCGCTAAAGCTGATTGACTATGTTAATACCTGTCACCTGAGTACCCTTCGCCCTTGCTCGTAATCGTAGCGTTTTCTTTCTTTATGTTTGTCGATAGATGAATATGTTAAGGAAGGGCCAGAAGCACTTGATCAAAGTTACGACCCTGACCAATTGCGACGCCACGGCACCACCATTCAGTGATTTTCACAGATGATGAACAGCTGACAACAAACGAAGTACTTGGTGGAAACTTTGATGATTTTCAACAATGAACCGAGACATTCTGATGGCCTATTATGTAGCAGGCTATCACATATACAATATCGGATTGGAGGGGGACGGAAGGGGGGTATTCAAGAACTAAGACATTTCGTCTATTTTTCGCAGCGTAGAGTCGCCTCATATTTAACAACTGATTAGCTCTTAAGATCCTGTCGACGGCAGCAGCGGATGTAACTGTCGCCGTTAGATATCTAGCGACTATAAGTGCTAGAACGCGAAATAGCAACTTAGAAGAAAAACGGTCAACGGAACGTGAACTAATAGATAAAACAAAATACCGGGTAAAATTGTTTGAGAAAAGGTAACACTAAAGATCTAAATACAGCTGTGCCGAAGGTCGTAGCTGCCTTTCAAAGGCTGAGTCTCGGAGCACAAAATCCTTCCTTAATATGTTACTAAAACGGCAACAATAGGCTAAATGGAATTACGCTAAATAAGCCTGTCAGTTGTTTGCCTCCCGCAGACGTTTAACACGGAAAAGGTAATTTAGCGTAGTTAACTGTGAAAACATCGTTGATTTTGGTTATCTGCTTTTTCGCCTGTGAAAACCGGACGCAACCCTGGCCGTTCGGGATCAGGATTTTTACTATTTCTATAGGGGACGTGATTGTTGTTGCTGTCGGTGCTAATATTGCTACGATTGCAGTCGTTGAACAATGCGCCCCAATGACACCTATGCTTATGTAGTGTGGGGTGACGAGAACCCCATGGTCCGTTCTTTCATCATTGTAGGTGACACCGATTCTGACATCAACACAGCTGTAGGAGTAAGTTCGATCGTTGTGAGAGCTGTTGAGTAAGCACCTGTAAAACAACTGTTCAAGATAAACTCGGGATCAGAACACAAGGATAAAAAGGGCAAAGTAGATGTGGGCGAATGGCAAGCAAGCTATTGTCAATGCAAAAAGTACGACATCATGAAGTTAGTAATAATGGACACCATATTGTCGCTCGCAACAACAAACTGAAACGCGTTGTTCCATCTACTACAATACTAACTGTCGCCCATTTATATCTAAAGACTGTCGTTTTCATTGATGTAAATGCAGAGGAAAGATACGCCTGTTGTGTTATTTAGAAGATAATGAGTTGAAAAATACGTCAGGCGTTCTATACACGTTAAACGAAATCGGCATTTTCGTACATTGAAGGCGAAGATTTTATCGTCCTAGTGCAAGCGGAGTAATATCCGTAGCCATTACGACCGAATGCGCGTCTCGGGCTCAGTCAATCGCAAGTTCACTGCATAATGTAGCTATATTTTTAAAAAACTTTTTGGTTTACATATATAGATTACGTTAATAGGTGTTATGCGCGTAAGTTGAGGATTTCTTCATGACTCGAGAGCTGTATGTGAACATAGTCACTATCTAACTTTTACTCTACATGAAACCATAATAACTAAGCCAATCACCTGCTATTAATGAGGCAGACAAGAGGAAAGAATAAAGAACGCTTGGTAACTTACGGAGTGACAAAAATCGTGACTACTATGGCCAGCGACGGAAGCAACAACACAGTTACGCTTAGAGCCGGAATCACAGCAGCAACGACGTCGATGATCCGAGTGGTTGGTTTGTTAAAAGATCAGGTCAGCGACGAAAAAAAAAACGCACGGGCCAGAATGCGCAGTGAGCTAAGCTGTACAAGAGGTTCCGCTGCCGACTGCAGAACGAGCAGCACTATCATCTCTGCTAAGACCCTGCTGACTCTGCAGATGCCTGTACGGTCGGCTTTGTTAACGAACGGTCAAATCATAGGTATTTCAAATGGTCGGTGACCACAGATATTAGAAGCTATTACTACGAGGGCATCAATGGCTGGTTGCTAGTTGACTACGGAGGTAATACTTTAGCCTGGTCGTGGTCGTAATGATGATGGATGAAAAGGTCCTTATTTTATACTTGGTCATATTTCTGTGTAGTATTTATTGTTATTTTAGCCCCGTTTTCTAATGGGAAAAAATCGGAGGGCGACGGAAAATCAGAGAAACGAGAACCAGTAGAAAAAAGAACAGGCAGTAAAAAATATTGGCGCCTAATTCAAATTGCCGATTGTTGCTGCTACAATTGTCGTCTGCACACGATATGATATCATGGAAGGCTAGGAATTGCTATCGACGACGTCTGTAGAACGCAAGGCGATGCGATGGCTAATCTTAGAAACGGTCAGTGTGCGGGTCGTTTTCGATTTGGTATTTCGTATAACTGCTGCTGCTGTTGTTGCTGCTGCTGTTGTTGCTGCTGCGACTTCTGCTGTTACTTTCGAAGAAAAGTGGGGTATAGAGGGGAGCATGGACGATAGGAAGATAAGCCCATGCGAAAAAAAAGACAAGTTAAAGAGAACCAACCCTCAAGCGTGGAGCAGAAACAAACACAATAGGAACACAAAGAACAACAAGGAACCCGGTAAAAGCTTTAAGAAAACTTGTATCTACTGACACTTGTCCATCATATCCGACAACGGCTGAATCGATATTGCTGCAGCTGACGAAAAGAGCTACTCGCGGATTGATGAATCGAGATACGTTGTTGCTAGCGTCTTTACGAACAACAAAATAAAACCACAGCCCCCACCATAACAACAATAATAAAATCAAAAACTGAAAAAGGTGCGCTCCCATATTTCTCTTCAACAATGGATTGGTAACGGTAACGATGTGATACACCACAGGTGTCGTTTAAGCGATAATTCAGTGCAATCAATCGACATATGTCATAACTCACGCATGTACGGACGTACGAAAGGGACAAAATATAGAACCGTCATTTCACAAATGTCATACAATCGAGCATCTATATAGAGATCTGATGCTGCAGGTTGTTTTGTACGCAGATACGACAGAAACGGTCAAAATTAGGTCCCATATTGCCCTTACGAGGCTAGTTTTTCTCTAAAGTACGGAAACGTATATGCGGAAATAAATGAATGAGTTGACGGATGCCACATCTGCGTATAAAGGGTCTTTGTGCTTAAGGCCTGAATTACTTTTTTCTATTTCTATTTGTCTATATGGAATTTTTTTAATTCTCGGAAAAACCTGTCAAAGGTGAGGTTCGCTAAATTCATCTTACCAACGAAGTATCAGTCTACAAGTAGTTTTAGCATAAAGGATTTTAATTGATTCCTCATATAGATGTCTATTTTTGCTATATTAGCTTTTAATGAACTCGGATCATTTGCACGAAAACCTTTTATATGTTTATGGCAGTAATGTGTCGCATTCAGCAACCCGCCACCTTTACTTTTTTGTTTTTTTAATGCATTTTTATACAATTTTCTATCTTCTTATCGAACATTTTAGCATAGGCGAACTGTTGACGACCGAACTCACTGAGTATCTTCCGAAAACCTTGTGGATGCTCTGTTATGAGCATGAAGCCTAATATCAAGCGCGGTACACTACGAGCATATAAGCAGCTGTATAGTGACCAAGATAAGCATCCCAAAGCCACATAATAAGCCTATAATCTTAGTGTGCCACGTTCTTCACCGTGGATGTTTTCTGCTATTAACTCAACGTTGCCTGTGCAGTAAATTTACAATCATTAGCAGGATTAGTCATGTATTTTGCAAACTAAACCACAAGCTCACTCCTTCAGGCGTGTGGTAAATATTGCCCTAGCAGCAATGAGAAACACGAAGCTTTCGGCCTTCGCACTACTTCGCACCTCGATTTCTGCACCTCCTTCACTATTGGCTGCGGCCTTCTACACTTCGAAAGGCCCAACAAGCCGATCCTTCTTAGAAATAAAAGCTTCATGTAAATTCATATGGAGCTATGTTCCTGAGGTGATTATTATCTAAATGTAGTTGTGTGGCCATTCGTATGCATACTAACTCGACTACGAAGCTATATATGGATTCGATGTTGGCCTGAGCCGAGCGATAGGAGCGACAAGCAAAATTATCACACGGCTAAATGTAGAATAGCAATCTTCGCTGATAATGCGCCGTTGCTGGACTGTTGAAGGCGTCATCTATTCCTGAGACAGCCTAACTCCTCAGTAATTACGACGCTATTCGAAGTTCGAAGTTGAATTAAATGCGGGCACAACTACAAACTAGGCATACGCCGGTAGTCGCCTGTCCTAGACACTTCATTATCAAAAATTTCGCGCAGAAGCCAACTTTTACCATCATTTCCATTCATGTCACCAACTGCAGCTATCGGGTGTAAAAATCGAGGGCACAATAGAAGTCGTCCGGCTCCATTACGCCTACTTGTCTCTCACTAGGATGGTCCGCTAGCCCCGTCGACTAATACGGAGAAACAACAGTCTACGCCAAATCAACTGAACGCTTTAAGAGAACTGTCCGCAGAACGAACGATGTCCAGCAAATATTATGGCGTCTGTTCCAACAGGTGTGTAGAAACAAACAGCCGCAAGGGCCGCTTCACAACATCATGGATCAAGTGGCAAAGTGGATAAGCGCAGCATAAGCAGTACGCTGTATAGATATACTATACTGAAAAAAGCAAATTAAGGACAGCATGTATAATAATAGTAATAACCACTACTAAACGACTGGGTCGGTAGGCGTTGATGGTCTCCGGTAGGGCATCTTAGAGAAGGTTTTTGTTTTATTAACATTTTCTGTAGCAGCTTACTGGATGAATATCTAAATTGTCTTACGCCCCGTCGCATGTGCAGCGACTAGACCCTGAACGAGCAGGCCACCCAGTCTTCATTGTTAGAACCCGTCGAAGAAGGAACCGCACGTACCATTGCACCATGTACGTGCAGTTTACAACATCTAACAAACATTATACAGTTTAAGTGCATTGTGTAGAATGTATGTATAGAGACACATTCGAGTGTTTTTGAGATCAGGCATATACCCGGCCCATTAAATTCGATCGAGACAATATAGGGTGACGATATCGCAAGTGCAATAGTCAGTGTTGATCCTACAGGTGCTGCTGCTATGATCACAGTGGCCCATTGCCGCGGCCGACTGTATGCGCTCGTCTCATACACTGATGCGTAACTCACGACAGATAGCCTGACAGCTATGCAGATATAATAACAATAATACAAATTGAATACACAATTTCACCCTTGGCTAAAAACTAATAGTTTTTAGCCAAGGGTGAAATTGTTGTCAGTTGTTTTTATGGTGTTAGTTCGAATAAAGCACACGGACGCAAAGGAATGCTGCACAAATCAGTACAAGAGAGGCGTTTGCTGCTTTTTTTTTTTAGCACGGCTATCCGCTGCTGCTAGTGTCTATCTGTTGTTGACGCTTCTCCAGTCGTTAAGCCGGTACAGATAATGTAGTAAATAGATTATATATGCATAACCCATACGTTGATTACCATTGCTATGCACTGCTCCCGCTACTGTGCTATACGTGCTCTACTCCACGGCGACGTCGAGCGATCTATAGAAAATTTGCTTTGCAGTGACTGTACTGATGGCGATAGCTCTCGACTAAAGCACGGCAACGTCGATACGGTGGCCGCATACGCGAAGAAAAAAGTAATAGCCACGTCGAGGTCGAGCAGAAGGAAGCCACTTCAGCGAAAAAACAAAGAGAAAGCAGAGTGAGACCCAGTTTAGCAGCAGCTGCTGCTGCTGCTGCTGCTGCATTTCTCGCAGCTACTTCCTTTGTGTGCCTGTCGTGCACGCGTGTGTATGCGTATGTAACCGACCGTTGATTACTATGTTTGAATGTTCTGACAGGAGCTTGAAGCTCTATACGAACTAAGCTTCACAAATATGCATAAGATGCTGGTCCTATGGCTTTGAACGTAGTCGTGGTCAGCACATATATTGCTAGTGGAATGAGTGGTGATTTACTAACTTACGATTGTTGAGCGAATTAAACAACTCCACCCGCCCATAGCGGCTACAGGAGCATCGAGTGCCCCACGGGAGCCACAGAGATCAGCATTGAGTGAAAGGCGTCGTGGTGGTTTGCATGGACATCTTCGAGTCAATGTATGTTAAAACGCAAAGCTGGCAGTGGACAGAGCTGACAGTCAACCAATTTCGGTCAGCTCTAGCTTTGGCAGCCATAACACAAATGCAATATATGCGAACATAATAGAACACTTGAGTTAAAACAAAAAGCCAAACGTTCTCGTGATAAACTGACACGCGGCCAATTCAACAATCTGGGAAAAGCCAACTGCTACAAGATTAACATCTAGTATTATAGCATTAGGAAAAGAACCGAATTTTCAAAAATGTCGCTGCAGTATTTTTTTTTTATAAAACTAACGTTTGTCTGTGCATCAACTAGATCAGTAGACCATGTTTCGGTACCGAAATTGCACAGCTTAGCAGACGTGCTGTGCTGCCAGGCCAGCAAGAATGATGACGTGCATATGATAAATTATTCTATCTAAATTGCACAATAATTTCCCATCCGGTATTCTAGCTAGACCCCCGCCATACTCGTGACCGCTCATAGAATCGCTTCTAAGCACAAAGAACAGACGGACTCTATCGATTTAATCCGTTTCGATGGCCTATTTACTCGGCGCCGTTCCGCTCAATTATTTTCTCATTCTACCTCCAGATTGTTAAGTCTTTCGATTTTGACTTTTTCGTCTAATATGCTTCTCCTGCTGTACAGAGCTAAGCGCTAGTTCAGTGAGAACGACATCTTTTCTACTGCTGCTGCTGCTGCTCGTGCCGTTCTCAGCACTGCACAATTTCATTGTGATCTTTCGATGAAACGGCGCTAGTCGTCTCGGCATTTCTTGACAGGCAAATATGTGTATAGCCTCCTCTGTCACTGACGAAGAAAGTCTTCGTTTAGTGGGCTGAAACAGTCCAAAGTCGGGGGTCTAGAATACAATAGACACACACAGAACAGTGAAAGACAGTAGACCCACAAGACGCGAACTGACGTCAGAGACAGCGTCGGTGAAGACAACTCATCACGTACAACCGAGCAGACACTATCGCAATTCAGCCCAGACAGGCAGATAGACGCCCAACAAAACTTGAGCTTGATGAAATCCACCAACTCGCTAGAAAGTTGCACCATCTATGCATGATATGTTAACTATATAATATTACGGATATTTGGCGTTTACGCCTTGAGCCAACGACATAGCTTAACGTAACATTGACGCCAGAATGGAAGTACGATACAATGCAGGGCATAAGGGAGGAAGTGAGTGAACGACCAATGCTGGTGGATTGGATGATGCAAGCTAGCCACTTATAATTATATGGTAAGCTTTTGAGCTTAAGTCAAACGACACGACACAAGTTCACGACAAAAATGCCTTTTATAACTTAGCGCCCTCGACGTTTGTCGTCATCCTTGTCTTACGAAAATGAGCTGTCAGTATAAAAACTCAAGACAAATGAATGTCCAGCCAGCAATTATCGTTTGTCCAAAGAATTAGTAATTGGACTATTGTCTGCCAATTCCACGTTGCTTGGCATGGCTGACTACGCTGGTACATGGGTACATTACGAGATTTGACGATATATTTCAGTTCGTTGGAACTTATTAAGTTCTATGCCCAGCTAGTTTCATTGCTGTTGTGTCAACTGATAAGTTAACATAGATTTCCGTTGATAAAGTTTCAAATCACCGTCGTCGTTATCGTGGCTTAGCTGTTCATTTTTCTCTTGGCCCAAAGTTCTATTCGAAACAACGTTAACGTAACGGGGGCGTTGCTTTCAGTACGTGTCCGCGTGTATTGAGTAAGGGCTAACTTAGTTCCCAGACGATGTCATCTTAAAACTGTATGAAGAACCGAACTGTAACACATCTATAAAGAACCGACCATCTGCCCCCCTTTCGAACTATTATCTATTGCCGTCCTGTGCAGGCAATACTTGCATATAAAGAACCAGCATCCGTCTTCATTCCCCGTAATTTTCGCCTGCACCTCGTTTTTCAATTGCTTCACAGGTCTTCAACTATCGCCCCGCAGTAGTGACGAAAGCAGCGTCGGCTACCCCCATAAAAATCAATTGCCCTTCTCGCGCAAATTTTTGCTAGAGCCGGTACTCTTTCGTGACGCCGCCTGTCGACAACTTAATTTCGTCGTTCTCCGACCAGAGGAGAATTTCAGTCGGATCCAAATTTAATACTGGATAAAATACAGAACAAAAATAAATCCGATCACTATTCGTGCTATGTTAAACAAACATTACGATTGATCGACTGCTACGGCCTGCTTCGCTGTTT